ATCCCTAATTCAGTGGTGGTATAGGAAAGTAGTTTTTGGAGGGATGGTGAATGGCATGCATTCTATATTTCATACAGAATTCCCTGCTTCTATATGAAGAGTGTGTGTGAAAAGGTATTTTTAGCTATCACAGAGCAGCCATACAGAAGTTCTGCAATCTGTCTTTGGATTGAGGTTGAAATTCCCCTTCTCTTCTATACCAATTAGATAATTACCCATGGAAAAACTCATTTAGCAGCATCTTAGCCTTGGTGTTGTGCTCTGTGCCTTCTTTTCAGTGGCCCATGGCAAAACATGCGAACCAAAAAGAAAGACCTGAACTCTATTGATCCTCCTTCTCTTGCCATCTCCATTAAAATAGCTGAACCCTGAGCTTTGTGCAGTAAATGATGCAGAAAGCCATGACACTGGCAGATTGTTCAACACTAAGATTCGAAAGCATTGTCCTGATGGGATTTTGGTCAGACAAAATGACTGGGGAAAAACGGTCCATGAAGTCTTCAGCAGATCTGCACCTGGTCGGTATAGCTCCTGTGAAGTCAACAGAGCATAATGATTTATATTACCAGGGGAATCAGGCCTTTTGCATGGCAGGAGTATGGATATAGTTTTATATTTGGAAACAGCTCTCAAGAAAGCCCCCCTCTCCTTCAGTTTTGTGGAATTGGTTATTTCATACTTTTAAACCGAGCTGGCCAGGAGGTGGTTTCTGCAAAGGGAGGTGGGGGAACGAATCTTTAACAAGCATCCAAATTTTTCTTTTTTTTTGTCTCTGTTCTTCTTTTTCCATTTTTCACTGACAATACAAATTTCACTGAAAATACAAAATTAAGAAATAAGGGCATTTCTTAACAAAAAAGTTACATTTAATTGCTAATCTGTCTCTCACTGGCAGAAAGTCTCCGGGAGGAATATTCAACCTCTACTTGTTACACAGGTAGCTATATCGCATCTTAGTAATTTAGGAAGGACTTATTTTACATATCAGTGCGTATTTTACATATCCGATACATTTTTCATACCTGTGCCACTGCACCTTAAACTATTATTTTTCAAGAGAACAATGAAGCCTGGCCGGTAGTTAGCTAGGAAACCTCAAAGCAAAGCCTAGGGTGCTGCAGGAATCTTAGGCAAGAACCTGTGCTGCCGTGTCTGGCCCTCCTCCTTGTATGTCAGTGACTTCCTATGTCTTCATGGTTTTGTAATAGTAGAAAGACCAACCTTTTGATAAGCAGCAGTAGGAGTTTGTTTTGCTTGGTGCTCTGACTTAGCCCCAAGTTGGATAATTACATTCTTTCTACCTAACGCTTCCCCGGCACTTCAAATGGAGAAATTGTTCCTTCTCCCCTTGCTTTTAAACATTGTTGTTTATTGTTTCTGGTAAAGAATTGTTCCCAACTTCCTTCAGAGATGACTGTATTATTATAGTGGGTATGTCAGTCTTGGTATGCAGTCTGTGAAGTGCTTTGAGATCCTTCAGAGTCAAGAGTCCTACATAAATGGAAGTTATTTTTGTATCAGTACAAACTAAATATGATGCTAATTGTCAGAAATTGTAGCCTGTGTGATACATTTGTGGAGGTGGGGAAATCTTAGGCTACAGGGGAGTTTTTTCTTCTGAATTTGCAGTAGAGGAAATGGCAGGCCCAGAGAGTTTAGCAATAAAAAAATGACGGTGATTATGGGTTTCTTAGCTACAGAATGCACAGAACTAAACGTTCCTTAAGGAAGATTTCACAGTTCATCGTGTACCCACTCTTATATTTTGCCTGTCTGATTTTGGAGCATTTAGGTCTCTATAATATTAGTATGTGTGTGCTGGGGGACAGATCTTCAACTGGCATAAATCAGTGCAGCTCTACTTCACATGGGGATCAAAAATGGATTCATGGGAACACAGGACTGGACGGGACCTCCCAGCCAGTGAGTCAAGTCTCCTCTATTTGCAGGTAACTATTTATCCAAAAAGTCCTAAAAATGATCTATTCTAGCCCTTGATGTACGCAACCAGCTGCAAAGCATGTATGAAAACAAGGCCAAGAACACCCTGCAACATGCCACAGTTAATAAACAATGGTGACAATATGCCAGCCCCTCACTTGAGGGGAAACCTGGCAGCAGGATGCCCTTAGCTCACCCTCCTTGTTGTGCATTAGGGCTGCGCTGTTGTTTGCAAACCAAATGCAAATGGCTGATGGATTAATTTAACTCGGGGTTCCCCAACTCCTGGCCCACGGGCCAGATCTGGCCCTTGAAGCTATGTCTTCCAGCCCACAGGGCTCCCCATGGGTCTGAAAATTTGGTGGCATGGGATCAGTGGCAGGGGTCCTGCATGCTAGATGGAGTATATGTAACAAGGCAGGGGGTCAGGCTAGATGATCTGTTCAGGTGCCTCCTGACTCTAGCTACTATGAAACTATAAGGCAGTACAATTGGGTTGGGATTGGGTTGTATGGGGTCTGGTCCAGGTGGTGTGAGGTGGGGTCCGGGTATGTGGGGTCCAATCTGTACATGGACACCACAGGATCTGTCCATAGACTGGCCATGTGCACTCATTCCTCCAGGAGGGCCAAAAAATTGAGCCCCCTGATGTAATCCAAGACTGTTCACTTTGTACAAAGGAGCTTCTAGTCTCAGAGGCTTGGAGCTCAAAGATCCTACGTGCCCTGAAGGAAGTGTGTTCATGCAGGAGAGCCCCTGGGGTGAAGCAAAGTGGGATTATCTTCATTTTACAAATGAAGACCCAAGGTGTGGGGATATTAAAGGTCTTGCCAAAGGTTGTAAAGGAAGTCGGTGTCAGGGGATGGGGACGGGACTGAGTCCAGAAATTCTGTCTCAGTCCTAGCCTGCAGTACCGTTACAGATGGACTTGATCTGTCTAGCTTGCTTTCTTGTTTGTTCAAAATAGAAAGCCTTCAACTTTTTTCTCCTGTAGTTCATGCAGGACTCAAATACACTATTGGAGCCAAATGCCTGCCCTCAGTCCTGACCTTTCTTTGATTTATGAAAGAAGAGCATGATAGACCAGCACATCAGGCAGATTACTCTTATTTCAGCTTGCCTGTCTCTAGACCACAGCAATTGTCTACCATGGTAGTAGATGTAAGACCCGTAATTGTTAGGGAGTAGTGTGAACCCTATGGGTTTGCTTTTAGCCTGAGCCTTGGAGGTGGAATCACAGGGGCTGCAAGTTAACCAGCCCTGCAAATCCCCTCTTCTTTTGGACATTCATGTTTGACTGATCAGACCATCCATGGAAAATCCTTGTCAAAAGCTCTATGAATGATTGATTTTTTTTTTTTTTTTTTTTTTTTAAATGTTGATCACTTGGCTATCCCAGTAAATTAAAATAGTTGCTTTTTGATTCCCAGAAATCTATTTGGGGTTAGAGTAAATGTTTCGTTTCACATTCAAGCACCGAAGTGTCTTCTAGATAAAAATTGAAGGAAATTTCAAAAGAAAACATAACTTTGAATTGAAGAATTGCAATGATTCACTCTGAAAATATCCAAATGAAATTCAGACTCGTTGAAGTGTTGTTTTGTAATGAGACTGTGCCAAAACTACAAAGCTCTTGTAAGACATTTTGAGTTGCTAAATCTGCATCTTTTTTTTTTCCAAATGAAAAAACTGCATTAGCTAAAACTTTTCCTTCGCACGTAAGCAATCCACCAGCCAAATCTCTTTGCCTCATTGGCAACAGCAGCTTTCCTTCTGGCTGGTGAAAACAAGGTGGCTGCGAGCGCTGGAAACGAAGGAGGCTTGGCTTAGCGATGGAGGATGCCTGCGTTCCAGACAATGCGAAGAACCCCAGTATTTTCCCCAAAAGAAACTGGGCCTCATAAATATATGATGCCTCCAGTCCACGGCAGTTAAAGAAGGCTCAAGGACTGATACAAATATTTCGGACTGATCCAAGTATAGTTTGGCGCCTGTTAATTATTTTTAACTAGTCCCATTATGAAGGGCAAATTGTGGAAGCAGTTTCGGTGTTTCAGGGTTGCAGCCCCTACTGGCTTTCCCTCAAATTCAAGCACTTCAATTTTTTAAGAGCTCTGCAGCCCACAAGGAGCTAATAGTAATGGGAGGTAGGGGGATATGTTTCACTTGCATAACAGAGTGGGCTCTTATAGTGAGGTCAGTGGGTCTTCTTGCAGAATAAAGTACTCCATGTACTCAAGGGTATGGCAGTCTGGCTCTCAGGTGCTGCTGTGTATGTAAATGCAGATCTGGCATGGGTAAGGTGCCCTTGCTATTGCTGTTGGGCTCTTCTTCTGGCGCTTTTTGTACGGGGGCATCCCCAGGTGAACTGCAAGTCCTGACCACAGGTCTACAAGATCCTGCTGACCCCAGTGTGAAGGTACCCCCCTGACTTCTCCTGCGCATGGGTGGTGTAAAACAGTGGGTTTGCATGAGTGAGCCTGACCTTGAAGTCAAGCAGCTGGTCCCTGATCAAGCACCTACTCTGGACTCCTTTAAGAAGTGTTTGGATGCCTATCTTGCTGGGATCCTTTGACCCCAGCTGACTTCCTGCCCTTGGGGCAGGGGGCTGGACTCGATGATCTTCCGAGGTCCCTTCCATCCCCAATGTCTATGAAATCTATGACTTGGCAATGTTTCCTGAGCTAGGAGAGTGATTGCCTTTAGCAGAAGTGGCAGAGGCCTATGTTAAAGATGAACCCTGGCTCTACTTTTGCCTCACTGGTGTGTGGTTTCTTGTGTTTTTTTTCATTTTTAATAGAAAAATTATCTGGATATAAATTCACAGCACAGCAGTTCTAGCAACAGGAGATTTCCTGCTCATACTTCTGCCTCTGACCACTGACCCAAACTCTCGAGCCACCATGCAACAGTGAACATGAGCGTGCTGAGTTCCTACTTCTACACGGTCTGAAGCCCATGAGGTTTTTGCCACAGGTTTCCAAAGAGGCAAAATCTAACCCTGAATCTCTTTTTCAGAGACATGAGAGCTTTATAAATTAGACCAAATAGCTGTGCCACAGGCGAAGAGTTCATCTATGTGTTAACGAGTGTATTGGACTAGTATGCAAATGCCTCGTAAGCATAATAGACCCACTTTCTGCTCCAAGAAGTTCACTGATTAGATCAGATGGGACCAAAACAGCGCAAATATATACAAGGAGATCAGATGAGGCCCAAGCGGTGGGGGAATCTTGCAGAATCAATCAATGAAAGACTCTTTTTTTTTGGATGTGGTGAGTTTTAGCCACAAGGCCAACTAATAGCATTGGTTTCAGGAGGCCAGACGTGCACTGTGCAGATCCTCACACCACTCTGCCAAGGCTCCTCCGTTCTCGCCCTCAACACTTCTATTATTCCCCTGCAAGCGCTGCCAGTTGGCTTGATGAGAGGGGCATCTATAAACAGCCAAGTTCTTCCCTCCGTTATACTTGGCACCATCATAGACCCAGGAGGACCTGCTCGGGTGTAACTAAGGGCAGAATGTGGCTCTCTGCCCAATATGAACTAAGGCAAGACCACCAAATGTAGTTTATACATGAAGTTTGAATCCAGACCTCTACCAAGTGAGATGATGTAGTTTAATGCTTCTGATTTTTACTGCGAAAGCCTGGCTCTTTATTTGGGCATAACATTATATTGTGCATGAAGCTTTGCAATCCTGCCAGAGAGGATGGAAATAAGGGCATTTTCTTTCACCTGAAGTGCAGAGTGGCCCACATATGTGGGCCCTACCTCTGTTACTGAATCATGCCAACTACAGGATATGTGCTGAAATTTGTGCTTTGTTTTATCTACAATTTTTTTTCTATGAAACGGAGCTGAGAGTAGCCTGGGTAGTGTATTTCTTGCTCCTGTAATCTGTCAAATATTGAGACATTTTGGTCTTAAATCCTCTTAAGTCTCACCACAATATTAAACTTTGACTTCATTTGTGGTGGCAAAATATTTACTTTTCTCTTTAACAAATTATGTGAAGCTGTATATTTTGTCTTGGGAGAGAATTTTTTTAAAATATTTTGGTGGCAACTGCAAAGGCTTCTTCCTTCATGCAGTATCCTGCTTTTAGATCTTCTCTCAAGACTCCATGCAAGTATTGTGGATTCATTTTTGCATCATCAGGAAAAAATATATATTTTTGCTGGGACACATCTGCTACTTGGTCTACAAGAAATTGTACCTTCAGTCCACACGCACGCAAAAAAAAGCAATCCTGTTTACCAGTATGGGAAACACATTTTTAAAATGTTGAAATCTCCTGCACACCTGAAATCCCCAGTTTTGCTTTCTTATCTTTGCAGAAATCTAATACTTCTAGTCTGTATTTACTTGGCAGCTTCCAGAGTTCTAGTTTTCTGAAGCTGGAAAGTGCCAATTGAAAAATACTGGATCACCACTTTGTACTGCCACTGCTTCATACTACAACTATTCCAACATTATAAAGGGATTTTACCATGTGTCTAATTTGTGCCCATATTATGGTCTTTTTGCACTGTCAGAGCAATCTGTAGAAGATTTAGTACAGAATGAGGTCCTAGAAGGCTATAAAGCTTATTTCTTTCCAGGTTTTAAATCTAATATAAATTGAAGTTTATTACAGTTAAATGGGTTTTAATTAGAAGAAAGGGAGATGACACTTTATGGTCTCTATTGTTTCATCTAGTTTCACTTCTGCTTGTAGATGAAATTGCAAAATGCCTCTTCAGTATTTGTCTTCCTGAAAATGGAAGCAGCAGTTCAGTAGCCCAAGCAACTCGATTTAGAAAAAAGCCATTTTTGTTTGCCATATTTTATGAATAAAAAATACATTATCAAAGGAATGGGCTAACCGGGGATTGCCCAAAGTACTTCACATTATATAAAATGTCCTTTCATCCAAAAGCACTTTACCAAGAAGAGCCTGATGTAGAAGCACAAAACAGATTCCATGCAGTGTGGACGAAGGTGATCCGTCTCAACAAGTACTATACAAAACTTGGAGAAGCTGAAGGTCTTAGACATGCACCGCACATTCGAGATATCCCTTTAATTTGCAATGGATACTTATGGGTTTGAACTCTCCACTCCAGTTTTGTTCCTAACTAAATATAAATGTGGAACTTTTGAATATTTACTGTTAAACTAATGACATGGGGACAGGATTTCTGTGAAGATGAGAGAGCTGACTCAAGCTTGGAAATTCTGGCTTGTAGGAAAGCTTTTTCACAAATATACACACGCACACACACACATATATATATATATATATATAAATAACATTTTATTTTATTTTATTTTTTTTTTAATTTCTATTTGACAACGCAAACTAGCATTTGCAAAATTAAATATGTCCCCCAGGAGCCCAGCAGATGGCTAGTGAAATTGCCATGGGTTTGTATGAGTTATCAGTGCTGCCTATAGTGCAGATACGTTTCTTAGACTCCAGTGTGCAGACTTATGTGTGTTGGGAGACAGGAAAGTCTAAATTCCCTAGCACTAGGCAGTGGGCTGTCATAGACCTGTGGGCTATGAAAGCCAACACTCCCAAGCAGCTAGCCAGATGAGTTAGCAGGAGGGAACAAGAACACATTTACAACAGAAACCAGCCTGTGTGTTGATGAAAGATCAAACCACTTTTATTTTTATGGGCTATTTCAAGCTCAGCCAGCCATGATGCAACCATGCATGAGAACTGATACTAAATTTTGATGTTTGACACCACAGCACCGAAGGCCACAGCCAGGGATCACGATCCCATTGTCATATGTACTGTGCGTGTGTAATGAAAAATTATCCCCCTGCCCTGAGAAGTTCATGCTAAGTATAGCAAGACACTTTTTTTTTTTTTTTTTTTTTTGAAGGCTCTAACCAAATGTTTCAGTATGAGACATTATCATTTGGATTTGCCTGATGTATTTGCAGAGTAGATGGCTGAGAGGATACTCAGCTGGGTAACAGCTGTCCAGTGAAAGTTGCACTGTGAGCAGAGCAGCCTGCTGTAAATCTTTCCCCATATGTATAATTTGTCACTGTACTCCAGAGGGCAGCATGGTAACACCTATGAAATGTGCCTGTCAGGTCAAAGATTCCCCAAATTTTGCTTAATGGAAATATTAACATAAGACATTTAAGTTTCTGCATCCTGTAAAATTAATACTTGAAGGTTTATGAAAGCAACATGCTCTGACATTATCCACTAGCTCATTTTGTTTCAAATTGGGCTGGGAGGCATCTGTACCCAAAGGGTATGTGCTGATTTGCCAAGGGGTCAGCTCCTACATTTTAAAAATAGCAGTGGAGTTTCTTATTTGTCTACACGCAGTGAGTATTGACATTGTCACACACTGACATTGGTGAACATATAGGGGGGATGTGTTGGCTGTGGAAGGTATGAGCAGTAATATTTTGTAGGTAAGGGGTACCTGGCCAAAAAAGTTTGAAAACCACTGCACTTGTTGATTGCTGTTCATAAGCTCCTGATTTGCACAAGACTGTAGGATAGCAATTTTCAACCAGGGTGCCTTGAGATACCTTCAAGGATGCTGCAGGGTGCCACACAATGTTGGCACTGTTAGGTTTGCAAACATGATTCACAGGTTAAACCGAGAGATTTCGAATAGGAATCCATAGTCATGGTCTTTCTGAGTTCCTTGCAACAGAAAAACTGCTCTGTTATTTTTTTGTTGTCAAAAAAGAGTGGCAACAAAGTGTGCTTTGAGTCTAAAAAGGTTGAGAACCACTGCTATAGTATATAGGGTTTACATTTAACTGTCAATCTAACTGCACAGTCTTGTTAATTTTTAGAAAGGTTTCTGGAGGCTTAAGCTATTTTCAAGCTACAGAAACTAACCTTTTTTGTTTTAGTTTCATACTACTTGGCAAGCTAAAACTTCAGGGAAACAAAAAAACCCCCAAAATATGTTTATACTGGCAGTTAATCTTTAAGGTGCACTTCTACCATTTAATAATCCAAATATATGGCTTATGTTTTTGAAATCCAAGAAATACTAAGAATGCCAAATAGCTGCTTTTCATGATTATTTTTCTGCTCTGTTTATTACACTCCAGTCATAAGCTTTCAAAAAAGTGTGACTACTACAATATTCCATCTACTGGCATCTACAGGTATTGCAAACTCTACAATGTGTGTAATTTTCTTCTAGTCGAAGTTACTAGATAGAGCTGATATAAACTCCTGAATATGGACACCCAGGAAACTCTGGGGTATTAAGAAACCAACACTTAAATTTTGCATCTTGCATCCGTCAGAAGGGCTAATTTGTTCTGAGTTCCCTGGCCCCTTCACCGTCATTAGAACTGTGCTAAACCTTTTTAATGAAACATCAAACCAGGTTAATTAGCCCATTTTTTAGGACTGTTGAGAACCTAGTAGCTGAGCCAAGTTTGTCAAGGGTCACAAAACCAAGCTGTAAGATAGTTCCTAGCCTTGCTGCTAATAGGAACCAAACTTCAGAGTGCCTAGGTGTCTTGGTTTGAGGCCACATAAGCATGAAAAGTGTGGATGGTTTTGAGACCAAACCAACCTATTCTGACATCTACACTTTGAGTTAATACTGTTTTGTGAGATTAAGATGCTACTATAATTATATATTGGGTACTGCATACATACCAAGTGGAAGATAATCCTTGGGCTAAGGGACTTCGTTCTTAATAGACAAGACAAAAAGTGGGAGAAAGGGACTTTTATTACCCCTTCTACAGATGGGAAAATGAAGGCAAAAAGATTGTTATGCATCATGCCAAAAACCAAAGAGGAGGTCAGCTGCAGAGCTGGGAGTTGAACCACGTCTCTTCAGCCCAAGTGTTACATCTTAACACACAATCAGTTGTTGTTCATCCTGTTGTTCAAGCAGATTAATCAGAAACTCAGGTGGAGTTTCCAATACCCAAGGTGAGATGCATCTGAACCCCTGCGAACATAAATGCCAACACTTTATGACTTTAATACTGATGACATATAATTTTCATTGTGATTTCATACATTTTCAGTACTATTTGGATTATGTGGACTGTTCCTGCCCTGGAAGAATATTTCAGCAGTGAGAATACTCCCTAGAGTAGATGGTCTCATGACTTGGATATTTCCGACTCAACAGTTTTGGATTTAGGTTAATATTGTTGATGTGGGCCCCCTTCAGCTGTTGGGCGCGATACAGATAGCTTTCCCTCCAGTTGTATTGACAATTCAGGCACCGGTCATCACATATAGATTTGCATCCATTTGCCCAAGTGAGGCCAAGTCCCTCAAAAAGTTGAGTGGTCCCAGAGCGATGCTTTGTCCCGTACGCGGTATGGAATCAGAATCATGTCAGTGCAGGGTCAGAGAGAGAGAGTTTGCCCTCTGTTATTGGTCTGCTATTCGGGGGGGAGGGTCCAGCATCTGGAGAGAGCTGCTCTACTTTGCACTGCTCTTTTAGTGACTCCGATAGGACTTTGCAGCTGCAAAGTGCGTACAATACCCAAGGTTTTGTTTAATCTTCCCCTATCTTCTTCTGTGGTTCCTCCAGCTCACCTTGACAGAACCTGCACTGGAGACCACTGCAGAGGCAGATCAGACCCAATTCTGTAGGTGGCTGTGAGCTCCCCTGTAGCAGGGTGCCTACTCCGCTGTTCCTTTGTGCCAAGGTCTTCGGGCAACACCAGATACATATTTTGGAGTTGAGCAGTTAAAAGTGCCTGGGA